AACACCTTTTGGACATTATGAATGGAAAGTTATGCCATTTGGATTAAAAAATGCACCATCACAATTTCAAAATATAATGAATGATATTTTCAATCCTTACAGTTCATTTAATATAGTCTATATAGATGATGTATTAATATTTTCAGAATCAATAGAACAACATTTTAAACATTTAAATATATTTTTAAAAATAATTAAGAAAAATGGATTAGTTGTTTCTGCTCCAAAAATGAAATTATTTCAAACTAAAGTAAGATTTTTAGGACACAATATATATCAAGGAACAATAAAACCAATCAATAGAGCTTTAGAATTTGCTACAAAATTTCCAAATGAAATAAAAGATAAAAATCAATTACAAAGATTTTTAGGATGTTTAAATTATATAGCAGACTTCTTTCCTAAGTTAAGACAAGAATGCTCTATACTATTTAATAGACTAAAGAAAAATCCAAAACCCTGGACAGATGAAAAAAGGTGGCATGGTATCGTGCTTTCCTTTTTAGACCATTCAATCATTCTTGGTTCTTTACTTTCAAAGAAAATTGTAGCAAAGAATTTTCAATCTGGTTCAATCACTGGTGGAAATGGTTTGGACCACAACCTGAAATTCTACCTCCAAATGTTCTCATGGGATTTCAAACCTATCTAAAAAGAGCAAAGGGGGAAGAATATACAAGACCAATTTTATTTCACATGGAATTCAAAGTACCATGGATATTTTGTTGGACTTTCAAGATTCATCAAGAATTGGAAAAACCTCTTCCAATGTCATTAGTCAGAGAATTCAAAATAAAATGGTGGACCGGATTCAATCAAGAATTCGGAGATCAAACAAATGTGATAAGATTTCTGACTACCGGAGACAAATTGAAATGGACTGCAACTACTACTCAAAAGGAGACAAGACAGCAGACAAGTATTCCAACCACTACACCTACTCCACCAACTCCAAAGAAAGAAAAAGAAAAGATGACGGAAATGGCATCCGAAGAAATAGCCAGTAACTTTTTGATAAAGCAAATGATGCAGAATCCCGAGATGCTTAAAGAATATCTGAATTATTTGTAAAAGTCAGTCAAAAAAGAAGAAACAGACAAAATTGAGGAGTCAGCAGGATCATCAGATTCAACTTTTGATCCTTTTGAAGATCCCATAGGTGGACAAAATCCAAACGACTTTTAGAAAAGGATGTCGGCCATTCAACAAAAGAAGATGAAATTCAAATAAAGACGAAATGAAGATTCAAATGTAAAGGCCCGAGCCTCTATAAATAGAAGCAAAATGTTAGAGAAAGGGCATCGGTGAATTAGCTATTCAGTACAAGAAAGCCTGTCTAAACACTCTCAAACACTATCTTTATTTTCAACATATCCCCATCACTCTTGTATCAAAAGTCTTTCTAAAGTCAAGATTCAAGAAATTGTGCAAGCTTCCGTAGAACTTATTGCAACTCTCAAATTTGATTGTAAGTCCAACTCTTTATATTAATTACAGCTTCATACATTCATGTCACCTTTCATGTCACCTGGGTACAAGTGGTATCAGAGCCACACCCAAAGTTATATGCACTTGCATATTTAAGATTTTGAACTACTATTATTTTGTTTGAATTACGTTTTTATTTTAAATTTGCTAATTCATGCATTTATGTTACATATTTTATTAAACTTTTACTGAAAACGTTGGTAAGACCTGATGCCTTGTTAGACCGTTGGTAAGTCCAGGATAGGATGTTCCAGGCATAGTGCTCGGTTGTTCCCGTCTAAGTAAAATTTAATTAAATATTAAACATGGCTGCATTTCTTAGACAATTTAAAATAGGATCTAATTCAAGACAAGCTAATATAGTACAAAGTCATGAATATCATATGCCTATAAATAATTCAGATTGGACTATTCCAGAAGAAAAAATAGAACATATATATAGAATAGGCTCATTAGATTTCAAAACAGCATTATCAGTTAAAACTCATGAAGAAACAATATCTATTCAAGAAGAATATCAAACAATTCCATTATTAAATCATAGTACCATTCAAAAATATTTAAGTAAAGGATATCGATATATTCATATAGGTTTAATACAAATTGCTGTAAAACCTTTATTCCATTTAGGAGTAGATGCTCCTATATATTTAGCATTAAGAGATACTAGATTAAAAAGATATAAAACTTCTTTACTTTCTATGATTCAAACAAATGTTTGTAATGGATCTATATATTTCAACTGTGCTCCAAATTTTTCAATAGATTTAACAGACCCACATATTTTAAATTCAGTTATATTAGATGTTCATTTACAAGGAAATGAATTTGAAAAACATACAAAGAATTTTGCAATAATATACAGAATGTATTATAGACCTTTATCATCTCATTTAAATCCTAAATTTATAATGTCTCCAACTCTTAAAGAAGAAACAACTTTATTACAAGTAGATGCTGACCGACCTACAACTTATACTCCAAAAAGATTAAAATGGAATGAAATAACCATACCAAGTGAATTTGAAATTAGAAATCCACAAATAGCAAGAAATATAGAACAAACTACTGCTGAAGATATTATAGAAAAACCTGATGGAAATACTTTAATAAGATTTGCTTCATTAAGAGAAAGACCTAGTTCAAGTTATTCATGGATACCAGCTAGACATTCTAATTATGAATCCACTGAAATAAATTTTCCTGTAGAAAATACTTCAACATTTAAATTTAAAACTCCTGTTCCAGAAGTTATAAACCAAAATCAATCAGAATATTCCCCTACTCATTCACAAATGAAAGGAGAAATAAATGTAATAAATAAGCCATATAAAATAAATCATAAATATCTACAAGAAGATTTTGATGATGAAGAAAATACTGAGAAAAGAATTTGGTTTTTTCAATTAGAATCACAATATAAAGAAAGATTAATTATAGAATGGAAAAATGAAATAGATAAACAAAAATTTGACTTTCCCTTCTTTACATGGTTAACATTTTATACATTAAAATTAGGAATAAACAATGTATATAATACACCACAGATAAATGTTCAAACTAATCTATATAAAAAATGGAAATTAAAAGATGATCAAATATTAACCTCAATACACCCCCCATTACAAGAAGTAAAAATCAATATAGGACAAGGAGAAATTATAGCCTCACCTTTTAAAAAAGGAAGAGAAGCAGAATCAAGTACAAATAATTCAATAAATTTAGAAGATCTTAAAAAAGTTTATCAACAAAATAATTATACAAATCAAATTCTTCATACAATATCTCAACATATGGAAGTATTAAATACAAAAATTGATACACTAAAGAAACCAGATTTAAAATTCCCTAATGATATATCAGCACCTCATTTCCAACCAAGAAGTCTGACAAGAGAAAAAAACAAGATTTAGTACAAAATATTAATAATCAAAAAATAAGTAATACAGACAATTTATTAAATAAAATATCTAATGCATTACAAAATCTAACTACAGAATCTAAACCATCAACACCTAAGATAAACACATTAGATCAAATAATAGAAGAAAATTCTACTGAAGAATTAGAAAATTTATCTGAAAAATCAACAGAATCAGAAGAAGAAGAAGATATAATTTTTCCAATAGAAGATCAATTTGAAGAAACAGAAGGAAATCAAATAAATAGAATAAAAAGAAAAAATTATAATAAAAAAGACAATTGGAAAATGGTAAGCTCAAAAAATTATTATCCTAGACCAAGTCCTCCAGATATTCAATATGAAGAAAGATCAAAATTTAGAACAACTAAATATGATGGAGATTCAATATACGAATGGAATATAGATGGCAAAGCTGAATATGAAGTATTAAATAATTTGCAAGAAATGGGAATGGCAAGACTAGCTTACAAAATTAAAAATATTCAAGAAAGAAATATTGCAACATTATTAGTTTCAGGATTTACTGGACAATTAAAAAATTGGTGGGATAATGCTTTAACTTTACAAGATAAATTATCAATATTAGATCATACACAGGAAATAGAAGATGATCAAGGAAATATTCAAATACAGTCAGATGCTGCAGAATTTTTAATTGTAACAATAGTCATGTATTTTATAGGAAATCAAAAAGAAGAATTAAATTCAAATAAAACATTCCTAACAAATTTAAGATGTCCAACATTATCAGATTTTAGATGGTATAAAGATATGTTTTTAACAAATGTATTAAGAAGACCAGATTGTAATGCGTCATTCTGGAAAGAAAGATTCATAACTGGATTACCAAGCTTATTTTCACAAAGAATAATGGATAATTTACAAAAGGAAATAGGAACAGATGTTATTTCATTCGAGAATATTACTTTTGGACAATTATTGAAAAAAAGTCCCTCCAAAGTGAGAGTTTCTCTCTCTTGATAAGAGCGCTAGTCTCTCAACCTTGAGAGTTTCAAACTTTTTCAAAATTTTCCGCAAAACCTCACACACATGCCCAAGATTTAGATGCCACCCTGAATTCTTAATGCTTGTTAGTACTACAGAAAATCGTACTGGGATGAGTGAATCTACCAAAAGATGAGAACTTTGAGAGAACCGAGCTTCTTCAGTCAGTGGGGATATCTCACGACTATACTTAGCAACTTTGTCGGATTTCGTCTGCATGCAGAAGTGATCTTGGCTCATCTGGACTAAGGAAACAGACTTCATAGTAGAAGTAAGTGCGTTGGCAGGTACCTTCATAGCCATTAAACCCTCTGTCTTAACTTGTGTTTTTCTTTTCTGCTCTAAGGCTTGGGGCTTGTCTTTTCAGTTTTATTTTCTTTTATTAGTAGAAACAAAATCTTAAGTTTTTAAAAAAGGGGGGTTAGAGACTAAGTCTTGACGTCAGGGGTAGGGCTGTTCTCTGATCTTTGTTCAAACTAGTCTGCCTGGGCAGCTATCTCCTCTGTTTTTTCGGTTCTTGGTTCTGCTTTTCTGGGTCTCAGTAGTGTGAGTAGGAGACAGTGTTAGTTTTTCTTTAGACCCCATGGCGGAGGAACTAGCGGATGCGATAAGAAAGTTTGATCTTTCAGATAAAGAGCTCGAAGGAACTGACCTGGGTGTTGTTGAGATAGATATAGGTATCCAAGAATGTCAGTTGAGTTTAGTGGGGAGAATCAAGGGTGAGAAAGTGGCCAACTTTGTTGGGGTCAAGAATTTTGTGACCACAGCTTGGGGCTATCCGAGGAATCTAAGGATCATAGAATTGGGGCCAAATTTGTTTCAGTTCTATGTTCCTAATAGGGAGGACAGAGACAGAATAGTAGGAGGAGGACCATGGGTCATGGACAACCAAATTTTGGTGATGAAACATTGGGTGGAAGGAATAGAAGATGATATTTCTGCTTTTGACCTGGCACCTTTCTGGGTTCAAGTATGGAATTTACCTGTGCACTGGATATCTAAGGAAGTGGGGAGGAAAATAGGTGCGATCTTTCAGGAGGTAAAGGACGTACTGGTGCCTCAAGTAGGAGGAAAAGAAGGAAGACATTTAAAGCTTCTAGTGGTACTGGATACCTCTCTACCTCTGCTTAGGGGGACGACAGTGAAAGTCAATGGAGCCTTGAAATGGTTGAATTTCAGATATGAAAGGTGTCCAGACTTCTGTTACAAGTGTGGAATGGTTGGCCATGGAGAGAAGTCCTGCAAGGCAATAATACAGATAAGCAGAGGAAAGCAGGAACATCAGTATGGACCATGGATGAGAGCCAATATAGGGAGAGGCTCTCCGCAGAAGGAACATCAGAACAAGTACAATTCTGAGAAGAGCTATTGGGGCTTTAAAGATGGGGATATGGTTCTGTTAAACCCAAAGGCTAAGGAGAACATGGAACACAGACATAAGGACTCGATGACTGGGAGACAGGAAACTCTTAGACAGGTTAATGCAGAAAGTCAGACAGCAAAGGAGGGGTCTAGAGAGAGAGGAGGTCATGAGGCTCAGAAACGAAGTTGTGGGGTGAGTAGCAATGAATTGAACAGGCAAAGATCAACTCCAGCTTGCAGTAAAAGTCAGAAGGAAAAAAGCACCACAGAAGCTTCTGGGACTCCCAATGGGGAGAAGGATAACTGTGAGTTACAAGGAGGAAGGATAAGTATCTCTGAGGAGCAAGATATAAACTCGATAATTAAAGGTGATTTGGACAGTAAAGGACTTGAGCAAATAGCTAGTGAGCTGATGCAAGTATCAGTGGTGGAGGAAGGCCCTGGTAGCCCTGTAATAGATGTAATGCATATTGATCCAGGTAGCTCTGATTTGGGTACAAAGGCTGTTCAGAAATACAACAGCAAAATGAAAAAACAGCTGAGGTCTCCCAAAATTTCTAGGCAGCCTTTGAGAGAACTTAGTGGGAACAAGATGAGGACTCGCCAGCAAGGGAAAAGAAAAATTAACCTGGTGGATGAGGATATGGTGGAAGTACATGTAAATGAGTTGGTCCCCAAGAGAAACAAAATGGCAGTTGGGGGAAGGCATCTGAGCGAGGAACTAGAGGGGGAAGGGGCCAACCTTAACTGGCCCCTCAAGTTACAATGAAGGTTTTGGTGTGGAACTGTCAAGGAGCAGGGAGCCCCTTGACAGTTCCCCAGTTGAGGGAGGCTAATAACCTCCTCTCCCCGAATATGATATTCCTAAGTGAAACCAAAAACAGGTTCCATTACATGAAAAAGGTACAAAAAATTTTGAGGTTTGAGGAAAGTGTGATTGTGGAAGCTATGGACAGGAAAGAAGGCATGGCCTTGTTTTGGAATAAGGATGTAGAGGTTAAGCAAGTTGTTACAACAGCCCTTACTATAGAGGCTCTGGTGCTTGACCCTGACAAGCAGATTGAATGGTGGTTCATTGGAGTTTACATGAGCTGTGACCCTATTATTAGGAGACAACAGTGGAATGTGCTGACCAGGAGAAAGCAGTTGTGGGGTGATAAATGGCTATTAGCAGGAGACTTCAATGACATACTCTCTAATGAAGAGAAATGGGGGGGACGAGCAAGAGAAGACAGGAGTTTCAAGGATTTTAACAGTTTTATTGAGAATAACAGCCTGGTAGATCTAGGATTCAATGGTAACCCCTGGACTTGGAGCAACAACTGGGAGGATGAGGGGGAGATAAGGCAAAGGCTGGACAGAGGATTGAGCACCATAAATTGGTGGCAAAATTTCGACAAGGCTAAATGTGAACATGTGGAGACCCTCGGATCAGATCATAGCATGTTGCTTATAGATAATTGGCCTAGAATAGAGAAAAGAAGGTCCAGATTCTTCTTTGATAAGCGTTGGCTTAAGAGGGAAGATATAAATCAAGTGGTGGTGCAAGCTTGGCAACAAACAGTTGAAGGAAATAGGATGTATAGGATTACTAGACAGATTGCTAATTGCAGAGTGGCTTTACTCAAATGGAAAAATAGCTTCACAGGAAACACTTTGCTAAGAATCAACCAAGTGAAGCAACAGATCAAGGAAATCAAAGACTCGAGGGATTCAGGATACAAGGATAAGATGGCTGAGCTAAAACGTCAGTTGAAAGAGGCTTACTCTGAAGAAGAGCAGTATTGGGCCCAGAAAGCAAGGATTGATTGGTTGAGAGAAGGGGATAAGAACACAAAGTTCTTCCATGCCTGCGTGAAGGGAAGAAGGAGGAAAAACAGAATGCTTAACATTCAAAGAGAAAATGGAACGTGGACCAATAGTGAGGAGGAGCTGGGGAAAGAAGTAGCAAATTACTATAGAATTCTGTTCACTAGTTCTGGCTGTGAGGGTCTAGATGAGATTCTAAGTGGTCTACCTTCTACTATTACTACTGAGATGAATGATAAGCTAACTAAAGAGGTTGATGAACTGGAAATCAAAACAGCTCTTTTCTCTATGAACCCAAATAAGGCTCCATGTCAAGATGGTATGACTCCTTTGTTCTTTCAAAAATTTTGGCATGTAGTTAAATCAGATTTAATTGCTGCCATTAGGTCTTTTTTCCATTCAAGCCATATGCCCAAATCCTGGAATCATACGGTCATTTCTCTCATTCCCAAAACACAGAATCCTACTAATCTGAAGAGCTATAGGCCAATTAGCCTCTGTAATGTACTTTATAAAGTGATTTCAAAAATATTGGCCAATAGACTCAAGGATGTGTTAAGCTATTGCATTAGCAAAAATCAAGCAGCTTTTATCCCAGGTAGGCAAATCCTTGACAATGTCATCTTGTCTCATGAATATTTACATTACATGAAAAACAAACAACAAGGTCAGAATGGTTTTATGGCTGTGAAACTTGACATGTCCAAAGCCTACGACAGAGTGGAGTGGAAATTCCTTGATTCCATGATGGCTAAGATGGGCTTCGGTACGGTCTGGAGGCAATGGATCTGGAGCTGCCTTACCTCAGTCACTTACTCCTTTAATATTAATGGAGAGCCTAAAGAGTTTGTAATTCCAGAAAGAGGAATTAGACAAGGCGATCCGCTATCACCTTATCTTTTCCTTTTATGTTCAGAAGGCTTTTCCAATTTATTGAAGCAGGCTGAAGGAAATAAAAGAATCTCTGGGATGAAGATAAGCAGGTATGGTCCAAGTATGACTCATTTATTCTTTGCAGACGATTCTTTAATCTTCTGTAAAGCTGAAAGAGAGGAAGCCAGTGAACTTATTCAAATCCTGAGGAGGTATGAGAAGGGGTCTGGTCAATCCATCAATCTGGAAAAATCCTCCGTGTTCTTCAGTAGTAATGTGGATTATCAGAGGAGAAGGGAAGTGAGGCAAAGTTTAGGCACAATTCAGGTTGCTACACAAGGGAGATATCTGGGACTACCTATGGTGATAACAAGATCTAAACAGCAAGTGTTTGGCTACATCAAGGACAGTATTAGCAGGAGAATGGCAAGCTGGAAGAACAAGCTGCTCAGCCAAGGTGGGAAGGAGGTATTACTGAAGGCAGTGTCTATGGCAATGCCAGTCTATACAATGTCCTGCTTTAAGCTGCCAAACAAACTCTGCAAAGAGGTGTCTTCCATGTTTGCTAACTACTGGTGGGGTGAAACTGAAGGGAAAAATAAGATGCATTGGTGCTCATGGGGGAGATTGTCTAAGGAGAAAAAAGTGGGAGGATTGGGATTCAAGGACCTGCAGAACTTTAACAAAGCCTTGCTAGCTAAACAGGTATGGAGACTGATTTCTAAACCAAACCTATTGGTTAGCAAGGTCTTGAGAGCAAAGTACTACCATACGGACTCAATTTTTAGGTGAAAAGTTCCTAAATGTGCATCGTGGATTTGGCAAAGCCTGATGAATGCTAGAGATTTGGTGCAGAATGGAACTAGGAAAAAGATAGGCAATGGCAAGGCAACCAACATTTGGAGGGACAACTGGATTCCGGGAAATAGGGATGGCAAAGTCACCTCTGTGAGGCCTCTGAATTGCAAAATCAAAAGAGTAGAGGAGTTGATCTGTGGCTTTCGATGGAGGATACCACTTGTATTTAGGACCTTTAACAGGAAGGAGGCAGAGGAAATTCTGGAGATTCCTATTAGTATATCAGGAAAGGATGATAGCAATTACTGGATACATAGCGGCAATGGCATCTACACTGTCAACTCAGGTTACAAGGCATTGTGCAGAGGAACTGTTCAATACAAAGAAAGAAGAGAGAAGGAGGCGGAAACTAGTATAGCAAGTTCTTATGAAAAGCAGTGGAAGTGGATGTGGAGGCTGAACGTTAAGAGCAAGATCAAACATTTCCTTTGGAAGTGCCTACATGGTTTATTACCAGTCAACAGCCTGGTTTTTAAAAGAACACACAAAGGTGATCCAATCTGTGGTGGCTGTGGTGAACAAGAAGAGTCAATTGAACACATGTTTTTCCAATGCAGCAAAGCACAAGAGGTGTGGAAAATGGCTCCATTACAATGGGATGGGTTAAGGGAACAGACAGGGAATTTTCAAGCTTGGTGGACTGCTCTTCTGGAAGCTACATGCAGGACAGAAGGAAAGGAGCATATAGAGCTCACTGTGAACATCCTCTGGCAACTCTGGAAAAGGAGAAATGAATGGCAATTCAATGCCAAACACAGGCACCCTTGGAAAATAATCCAAAAGGCTCTACAGGAATGGCAAGAACAAAAAGATGTCCAGAGCAAGCAGGAAATAGTCTCTGAAGATGCGGTAAGAGCAGATGAGGAAGTTGATCAGGAGGAGGCAGGATGGAATGAAATTCAGATCAGAATATCAACTAAGGAGCAAGACCAATCCAACCGAGTTGGCATGGGGATTTTTGCATCTACCTTCAACAATCATTGGGTGGCTGCATGGGCACTTTTTGACAGAAAAACAGTGAATCAGTTGCAGTCTACTGCAGAAGCTGTGAAAATGGCCATCATAAAGGCTAGACACCAGCAATGGAAGGAAATTGTTGTCCACATCACCAGCCCCCAGCTACTGAAGATGATAAAGGAAAGGAAGGCAAAGGACATCAAAATGGCTACTTTGATAGATGATATTAACGATCTCAGGTCCTTATTTCAGAAATGCTCCTTTTGTTTAGATAGGAGCTTAGACTCTAGATGTGAAGCGATTAGTGATTATGCTTTAGGCATATTTCAAGATGAGGAATGGATTAATCCTCAGTGTGTCTAACACTCTTGTATAGAATTCCTTGAGCCTTTGCTTATATAAGTTTTTTGCCAATCAATACAAATATCTAACGTTGCAGGAAAAAAAAAAAGAATATGAAGTATTAAATAATTTGCAAGAAATGGGAATGGCAAGACTAGCTTACAAAATTAAAAATATTCAAGAAAGAAATATTGCAACATTATTAGTTTCAGGATTTACTGGACAATTAAAAAATTGGTGGGATAATGCCTTAACATTACAAGATAAATTATCAATACTAGATCATACTCAAGAAATAGAAGATGATCAAGGAAATATTCAAATACAATCAGATGCTGCAGAATTTCTAATAGTAACAATAGTAATGTATTTTATAGGAAATCCAAAAGAAGAATTAAATTCAAATAAAACATTCCTAACAAATTTAAGATGTCCAACATTATCAGATTTTAGATGGTATAAAGATATGTTTTTAACAAATGTATTAAGAAGACCAGATTGTAATGCGTCATTCTGGAAAGAAAGATTCATAACTGGATTACCAAGCTTATTTTCGCAAAGAATAATGGATAATTTACAAAAGGAAATAGGAACAGATGTTATTTCATTCGAGAATATTACTTTTGGACAATTATTTGCTTTTGTGAAAAAAGAAGGATTAATGTTATGTTCAGAATTAAGATTACAAATAAAATATGGATCAAAACAAAAAGAAGTAGGATCATTTTGTGATGCTTTTGGAATTAAAAGAATTAAATCACCATCAGCTTATTAAAAGAAAATAAAAAAATATTCTAAGAAAACTAAATATAAAAACCCCAAGGAAAATGAACCAACTAAAAAGAAAAGATTTAGTAAAAAGAAAATTGTTTGTTACAAATGTGGAAAAATAGGACATAAAGCAAACAAATGTAGATTAAAAGAAAAAATTTCAGAAATCTGTGTAGATAATGAAGAAGTTAAAAATAAATTAATAAATTTGTTAATAAATGAAAAAGATAAAAGTTCTGAAGAAGACAATTATGATGATATTACTAGTTCCGAGAGCGAAGAAGATTGTAATTGTACACCAAAATATATAAATGTTATAACTAAAAAGGAAGACAAAGAATTTTTATTAGATATAATAGAAAAAATTGACGATCCAATAGCTAAAAAAGAATATTTGGAAAGATTAAAAAGTTTAATTATTCAAGAAGATAAAATGCCAAAGATAATAGAACCTTTTAGCATTTCGAAATTAATAGATAAATATCCAAATATAAATGTAATGAAAAAAGAAACTACTAAAGATCTTCAATCAGAAATTAATAATCTTAAAACACAAGTAAAACAATTACAACAAGAAATTATAGATTTAAAGACAAAAGACTTGGAAATAGAAGCCAAACTAACATTAATAAATAATAATCAACCTTCAAATACTAAAACAAACGAAATATCAATAGCAGAAAACCCATTAAAAGAAGATCAATATATAAATACAATAGAAAAAATGACTTTTCAAAAATGGTTTGCCTTTGTAACAATTACAGTAGAAGATTTCAAAGAAACATTTGTAGCTCTAATAGATAGTGGAGCTGATACAAGTTGTATTAAAGAAGGAATAATTCCCACTAAATATTGTGAAAGAACAAAAGAAAAATTAATGGCAGCAAATGGACAAGATCTAGAAGTAAAATATAAATTCACAAAAGGATCAATATGCAATAATGAATATTGTATTAGACATAATTTCATAATTGTAAATAATATAAATCATGATGTTATACTAGGAACACCCTTTTTAATTCAAATATATCCATTTATAGTAAGCCATGAAGGAATTTCAGTAAACATAATGGGAAAAATTATTACCTTTAAATTCTTAACTCCAATAAGACAGAAAGAATTACAAACATTACAAACATCTTCAATATATAAAACAATAAATACCATTACTAAGGTACAATAACAAATAAGTTACATAAAAGAAGAAAAATCTTATTTAAAAATTGAAGAACAATTAAATGATATTAAAATACAAAAAAGAATATCAGAACTAGAAGAATTATTTCAAAAAGAAATTTGTGCAGATATTCCTAATGCTTTTTGGGATAGAAAACAACATATGATAGAATTACCCTATGAAAAAAACTTTGAAGAAAAGAATATTCCAACAAAAGCTAGACCAATACAAATGAATTCTGAGTTACTAGAATTTTGTAAAAAGGAAATAAAAATATTAATAGATAAAGGACTAATAACTCCTTCAAAATCACCTTGGAGTTGTGCTGCATTTTATGTAATGAATCAAGCTGAAAAAGAAAGAGGAGTTCCAAGATTAGTAATAAATTATAAACCTTTAAATAAAGTGGTACATTCTAAAGTACCATTCTAAGATCACTTGTACCCAGTGAGTAAGTAAAATTTTATTGTAAAGCTGATATCCTTACCATGTCAGATATGATGATATTACCGACATAGCTATAATACAAAAGAGGTAGGTTAGATATCACTAAAATTATGGGGTGGCAATTTCTAAACTTGAACCAAAGATTGATATTACTAAGTGGGATTGGAATTGTTACCCACCTTATTACCCATTACAAAGATGGAATTATTGAATGGTACCCATTAGTATTTCCCAAACATTAGTAAGCTTATTACAACTCTATTACCCAAACAAGGGGGATATTACTAAGTGGGAAATACCACCGAAAATAGGAATTACTCTTTAGCATTGAATATCACCTCTATTATGACATTCAAGATTCCAAAACACTATCTCTCAGATATCCCATTATCAAGGTTAGGACATTAATTTCTATAAGTGTCAAGGACACTTATTAATTTATCAAAATTACTGAAAAGGATTTTTTGGAATAAAGAGAAGTCCATTCATTAGGAGAACAAACTTTCTTTATAATACACTTGGAATGGCTGATAATATTTGGATTCTTTTTATCTGGAATAGGGTAAATTTCTACAGATTGAGTATCTGTAAGGATTAATTCATAATAGTCTAGATTTTTTGAAGGATCATCTGGTTGCCAATGGCATTTTGGAGGAAAGATCCTTTGAGTAATTTGCTGGAGAGTAGAGTATACAGGTATCTCTTGAAATCTGGTTAAAGTAATATGTTGAGTAAATGGTTTTGTAAAATAAGTATTTCCTGGAGATTTTTCTGAGGTTTTGGCTATTTGTTGAATTGGTCTTATTTGAGAAACAATTGGAGTAGCAGCTTGACTACAAGTCAATGCTGGAAAATCTGATAATAGTTGAAATCTATTTTGAGTAACAGGAGTTAGACTCATCTCATAATCTTGAGGAGTCTTTGGCCTGGAACTTCCTGCTTTTGAATCCATATTCCTGCAAAATTAATAAATAACATCCTTGAGTAGGTTAGATAATTCTTTGTTCTGTTCTTGATAATGTTGAATAAATTCGTTGTGAAGAAAATCTCCACTTCTGCTTAATCTCTTATGGGTAAGAAGTCGAATGGTGTTTCGCTGAATTTGTCTTTGTATAAGAAAGGCTCTTTCTTTTGGAGTAATGGTGGCATAAGGACTTTTGTTAACATAAATTTCATCATATTTAGGAATTTGGTAGGCTGGAATGAATTGTCTCCCATTCGGAGTTTGAATGGAATAGACATATCCTCTGGATTCGATCGATTTTTCTTTATTTTGAAGGCTGGGAGAATCTCGTTGAGTTCTCAAATAATTCATATATTCACGAGCATTTCTTTGAGCCATCATTGCTGAATCCATGCCCTTGTAGGAATTCTCTGGTTAGAAAATCTGGTAAAGAATTATTTTCTCCTTTGATAAATTCAATCTCAAAATCAAATACAGATAAAATAGCTTGCCATCTAGCAAATATTTGTTTTGACACTATATTTTGAACATCTTTTTGTAAAATTTCTTTTGCAGATTTACAATCTATTCTTATTAAAAATTTTTTATTATATAAGTCATCTTGAAATTTTGATATACACAAAACTATGGATAAAATTTCTTTTTTAATAGTTGAATAATTCTTTTGAGGGTCCGACCATGTTCCAGAATGAAACCTAACTAATTCTTCTTTTGAATTATCTATTCTTTGTTTTAATATTCCACCATATCCTAATTCTGATGCATCTGTTTCTACTATCATGAATGCTTTAGGATGAGGTAAACATAGACATGGTAATGACTCTATTTTTTCTTTTAAATATTTTATTTTTTTTGTGTATGTTCATCTGTCCAGGGTTTTGGGTTTTTCTTTAATCTATTAAATAATATAGAACATTCTTGTCCTAATTTAGGAAAGAAATCTGCTATGTAATTTAAACATCCTAGAAATCTTTGTAATTGATTTTTATCTTTTATTTCATCTGGAAATTTAATAGCAAATTCTAAAGCTCTATTGATTGGTTTTATTGTTCCTTGATATATATTATGTCCTAAAAATCTTACTTTAGTTTGAAATAATTTCATTTTTGGAGCAGAAACCACTAATCCATTTTTCTTAATTATTTTTAAAAATATACTTAAATGTTTAAAATGTTGTTCTATTGATTCTGAAAATATTAATACATCATCTATATAGACTATACTAAATGAACTGTAAGGATTGAAAATATCATTCATTATATTTTGAAATTCTGATGGTGCATTTTTTAATCCAAATGGCATAACTTTCCATTCATAATGTCCAAAAGGTGTTGTAAATGCTGTTTTGTATCTATCTTTTGGGTCTATTATTATTTGCCAATATCCTGATTTCATATCAAACTTTGAGAATATTTTTGCATTAAATAATCTATTAAGCAAATCTTTTTTATTAGGAATAGGATATCTAATCCATTGTAAAACTTTATTTAAAGGTTTATAATTTATTACTAATCTTGGAACTCCTCTTTCTTTTTCAGCTTGATTCATTACATAAAATGCAGCACAACTCCAAGGTGATTTTGAAGGAGTTATTAGTCCTTTATCTATTAATATTTTTATTTCCTTTTTACAAAATTCTAGTAACTCAGAATTCATTTGTAT